TAATTATAAGTATCGATTATATAGATTATAGTTTATAGTTGAGTAATTAACTTAATGTGATCAATTAATTATAAGTATCGATTATATAGATTATAGTTTATAGTTGAGTAATTAACTTAATGTGATCAATTAATTATAAGTATCGATTATATAGATTATAGTTTATAGTTGAGTAATTAACTTAATGTAATCCTAGATTATTTTTACGACATTAATTGTTAACCATATATTTACACAACACTAATCTATAATCTATATAATCGATACTTATAATTAATTGATCACATTAAGTTATTTACTCAACTATAAACTCTAATCTATATAATCTATACTTATAATTAATTGATCACATTAAGTTAATTACTCAACTATAAACTATAATCTATATAATCGATACTTATAATTAATTGATCACATTGAGTTATTTACTCAACAATAAACTATAATCTATATAATCTATACTTATAATTAATTGACCACATTAAGTTAATTACTCAACTATAAACTATAATCTATATAATTGATACTTATAATTAATTGATTACATTAAGTTATTTACCCAACAATAAACTATAATCTATATAATCGATACTTATAATTAATTCTAATCAAAATGTGTGTTATTATTATTGTTATTGTTTTCAATTATTCCAACAATTTCATACTCAAGAAATTATTATTTTTTCAATTAATTTCACCTTGTTCAGCTTCAGGTCCAATGACTAGGAGGGTTGCCTTGTGATCTGATTCCTATTTGCTATCAAACATGCTCACCATTTCAGCCTTGAGGCATTATTTGCATCTTTGAATTATAGCAAAGCTATGAAGACTATCTGTTGTTTGTCTTTAACTTCAAATTGCCAACTCTTGGGCTAACATTTTACAAATGACCTCTGTTTGTGCATTATAATGTCTTTACACCTGAAAAGGCAAATATACTTTGTGGTACCAGATATTGAATCTGAAAATAATGACTTTTTTGCTTTGCAAACTGCAATAGTTATACCTACAGGTCATTTATACTTGAGTTACTGTCTGTAGCCCCCCAGTGGCACAGCGGTATGTCTGCGGACTTTCAACGCTAAAATCCGGGTTTCAATACCCGTGGTGAGCAGAGCACAGATAGTCCATTGTGTAACTTTGTGCTTAATTACAAACAACAACAACAACAATTACTGTCTGTAAATTACTTTATGAATTTTTTATGATAACAGTCAAATATTATTTAACCCTATGAATATGGGAGGGCCAAATTGTCACAACCTTTTTTATAGAGTTAAATTCAAAACTTAATTAAATAACTTTATTATCAATGACAATAAGGTAGTTCATAAGTTATCTAAGTTTTAAATTCTGAAGATCAAAGGAAACATTAAAATAAATTCTCAATTTTTACTTTTCTGTGTCACCATGTTCCAAGTTGCCCATTTTAGGATTTCTCTGTACCCTTATATGATTTTCTGAGTGTCCAACTAATTAGAAACCCATACTTTTTTGAAATTGAAAAACCAAATTATAAATTTAGAGTCACTAATCTTCTTGCTTTACCAAGATTAAAATTCTACCTTTCGAAAATATCAGTAATTCTGACATTGCTGTTGGATTTTTTAATACAAAGAGCAGTTGTTGTTTTTCAGGATAAGTTTCCTTATAGGATAACTTTATTTTATCCCCTCTCCAGTATATCTTTAGCTTTTGTTTCATTGTTTGCAATCATGTTTTTCACCTCCAAGCAGCTAGCAGAATGTTTTTAAAACTATTTAAAGCTACATTAGATAGTCAGCTGGATTACAGTAAGTTTGGAATATTCAATTTTAGTCCTTGATATCATTTTTGTGTTCTAAAATATATATTTGAAAAGAACATTAATGATTTTGTGTAGAATCAACACGGTTATAATTCAAAAAGTGCAACAATGGTGTAACTCTTTTAAACATTAAAACTGTAGAACCCAGATGTTTCAAATTTTTAAATGTTAAAAGAAGAATATCATTTTACTAAAATCAGTATGTGTTACGTTATTGAATAACATCAAATTATTTTACTTTTGCCAAAAGAAGTAATAATTTCTATCTTAGTATACACATTCTTAAAATACCAACTGAACTTATCCCAGGTAATCGGTTTATTTACTTTCTTCATACCAACCTAATGAGCCTTGTTTGTTGACGCTTTCTCAGAGAAGGATTCATCTCGAATGAATGTGATCGGTGACGTTTTTTCCCTGAGGCTATAGCAGCTGCTGCAGCTACACCTATAGGACCTTAAAAATAAAGAGATATAATTTTTAAGAGGTAATATTTTGAATAATTAAGTTCTTTTAATCACAAAAGTTAAACATTCAAAATGATCTTTCAATACACGGATCAATAACAAACTAATGAACAATAAGGAATGAGAAACATTCTTCCTGTCCATTCAAATTAAGAAAGACTTTTTTTTGTATGATGTTCATAATTTTGGCACCTAAGTTTCCAGTGGGAGAAAATCACATGTACTTTCATCATAAACATCACCACAAAAAGTCTTTTGAAAGCCATATTTGTCTCACTGAAACGAAGGACGAAAGAACAAAACTGTAAAAGAAATATTAAAAAGGCTTAACATCACTTACTTTATGTTTTCAACTATGATATTCCCATAACTTTGCTGTCCCAAACCACCCATAAGACCTTTGTATAGCACATTTCTATAATTAATACACAATATACAAAAATATTTAGGATTTTCCCAAAAGATGAGGTGACAATAGTTACAAATGGTCCTTCACATATCTTTCCAACAAAAATTTTAAAATAATTCAAACAAACTGAAAACACATATCATCAAGTAACATACACCAAAAGCTTATAACTGACAAGCTTTAGGAATTAAATCTCTCTCTCTCTACCGCTTCCTATGTAGCTTTGTTATATGGACTATTTAATAATGTGAATAGTTCAATATTACTACTCACAAGTCTCTATTAACAGGTGTTTTAAGATTCATACATAAAAGAGAATATTAGATAACCATGGGCATAATGATGTGACTAGACATTTGAATATACATAAAATGCACATACATGCATATTTCCCTGTAAATTAATAACTCAGTGATATAAAAGTACACTAGCCTAACTCAAAATCCAATTCTATATTTAATTATTCAAATACTGTCTCTTGTAATTATTTTTTTCCAATGGTTAAATATTTACTGTCACTGAAAGTTCTCTACGGCTGGGAATCTGTTTATTAATGATAGGCTAATCCAACATAAGCTTAATATACAAAACACGTGTGTGTGACTCAATTAATTAAGTTCTTGCCACGCCTTTCAAAGGATTTCAAACTCTGGTGGCATAAGTGGATGAAAATGGTGGTCCATTCTGCGATGTCAGTCCATCACTGGTTGATCCGCCAGCTAGCAGCTGATACACGTCAGACTGCTGAGTAAACTGGAACATGTGAAGTAAAGTGCCTTGTCAAGGACACAACAGCATGATGCAGACCAGCCTCTAACTCGCAACCATCCAACCATTCTGGGGTGTCAGTCCATCACTGGTTGATCCCCCAGCTAGCAGCGGAAACG